AGTAAGTAATCGTCGGACCATAATCAGGACCAGGACCGGACTATTCAGGACCGAGGACCGAAAATCATTCGGTCTTCAGTCTTTTACAGTCCGGTCCCGGTCTTTACGAAGACCGATCCATCCCTAGTAAGAACACTAAAGAATTGGTTAGTAAGCTAATGGTTTCTATTTGCAAATGATTATAATATGAAACGAATAAAAAATTTTATACCTCATTATAAAAATAATTTCCGGATGCACATTGTTGATAATGTTGTTGATGCCATTATTATAAATGAGTATCGTCAAAAGAAAATGTATCTATCTAGAAATAGATTATTATGATTTTTATAATCTATATTTTAGATAGGTATGTTTTCTTTTGGCGACACTCAAATATATAAAATAAACGATAGTACATACGTACGTATGCACATAACCTTTACATGTAACTTTGAAAATGAGTGATAAAAATTTAAACAGTTCTAATCGATTTATAAACTACCATCCACATGATTACCTACCTTATCGAACCCCACCAAATAATTCTTTATATCTTCCTCCATTTAATCCACCTTTAAGAGATAATGATTTGGAATATTATATACCACCCGTGCAAAATGGTCCTTCATTTATATCACAAAATAATAGTACCATAAACTACCAACCGAATCCTATGTATGTATCTAATAAAGGAATTACAGGGAAAATAGTTGGAGAGTCGACTAAGAAGACAATTGATGTGCCAAGTGATGAAGAAACGATTGAAGAAATAATTGATGAAACGGTTGATGAAATGATTGATGAAACGGTTGATGAAAGTGAGCTTGAGGATTCTAATAACAGCACTCTTTGGTCACACCCTGATATTAATAAACTTCTTGGCATATTGGCTGTAAACTGGGAGTTATATAAATCTAATAAAACCAAATTCTGTGCAACTGCTGCTATTAAATTGGGAAAAAATAAAACCGGAACACAGGTAAAGACTAAGTTACAAAACCTTAAGACGAAATATTCTAATGAAAGAAAGGAAGTTACTGGTAAAGCAACATCTAAATGGCCATATTTAGAAAAAATGGATCGTTTATTTGGTAGTAGAGAAAACATCAATCCAGATTATTTAATTTGGTCTTTATCTTCAGATGAAAAAGACAAGGTATGTTGATTATAGATTTAGCCTCTTTTTATTAAATGTTGCGGATCATACCGATAATGAAAATGAAATAAATTTTTATTATTACAGCTGTTCTCATAAATTCTGGGACACCTAAAAATTTTCTCGTCTCCCGAAACCTCTTCGATCTTGTTCTTAGAATCATTTAACTTTTCGGAAATTACTTCGCTGTCTCCATATCGAAGTTCCAAGTACAGCGAAATAGTTTCCGAAAAGGTAGGTGATTTTTAGAATGAGATCGAAAAGGTTTCGGGAAACGAGAAAATTTTTAGGTGTCCCAGAATTTATGAAAACAGCTGTAATCCTCTAAAACCTACTAATACTTGTTTATTAATAAATGTTACCCTAAAATTAACCTCAAACCCGACCCCTAACTCTAAAAAATACACCTCAAAAACTTTTATTTTTCAGTAGCTTGTCTGTTTTTTACATTGTGCAATATTTCATTTTAATCCGAATTCATTTTAATCCGTCACAATTGTTATAAATGGATACAATTATCAATTAACAAGCAAATCTGTATAAATTAAAGTAATTATTAATTGGCGATTAAAAATTCGGCCAGCAAGATCTATACTAATTTAGATTATTATATTTTTTAGCTTACAGCCAGTAATAATGATAATAAAGATAAGAAAAAAAGAAAAATAAGCGATACGGATCAACTTTTCCTAGATGAATTAAGCTATTTAAGAGAAGCAAAAAAAAAGGCAATAGGTATGAAAGAAGAAAGGGCCAAAGAGAAAACTTCAGCCGCATTTGCACGAATCGATTTTGAGCGTGAAAAATTTAATAAAGAGTTTAAAGAAAAAGTTACGGAAAGACAAAATAGAATAGACTTAGAGCGTGAAAAATTAAAGATGGAAAATGAAAGACTTACTAAACAAATGGAAATGGATCATAAATTACAAATGGCAGAGCTTGAATTCAAATATAAATGTAAAAAGGATAGTGAAATTGAAGAAAATGATTAGATAGAGTGAAATAGTGATAATGCAAAAACTTAAGCGGTCCTGTAATTTTTATCTAATGTGATTTAAGATCTATGTAATACTGTAATATTAAATTACAAATATGAGTAAAAAATTAAAAGTTTTTAGCACAAAATTGATATATGCTTCTTACATTATATTAACTAGCTTTTTGCCTGTGTCTTCGTCACAGGAATTTTTCGAAAATCGTTCATTACTTTAAAATTTTATTACAAAACTTTCTTCGGGTTAATCGAAATATGTATTTATTAAGTTAGTTTGCATCGGAATTATTATGACTTCAACTCCCATCACAAACTACAGTAAAACGCTATTCCAGTAACAATAGACATAGTTAATATTGAGTTATATTGCAGTATTAGAATTATTGTAATTTCTCCTATGTTAAAAACTCATTCGTCATTCTGATAATCAAAAACGTAGTGAATTAATTTTGTATTGGAATTATTGTAATTTCTAAAGAGTTTTTAAATATCCTTTCTGTTACAGAATTTGTTATTCTAGTCAGCTTGAGACATATTTATCATGACTTATCATGAGCTAAAATATTCCAATAGCGATAGTTTGTACTACTTTCCTCTTAAGGGTCTTTGCACTGTAACACAGCCGAGGATCCCTTAGAGTTGAAGGTCTTTGCACTGTAATACAGCCGTAGAGCCTTCACAGTTAGCCAATTGTTACTGTCTTCGGGTCCAAAGAGAATTGTGTGGTCACTGACAGTGGTCACAAATCAACTCACAAGGTCCTTGTACCATAAAGTCGCAGAGCCTTGGTATGCCCGAAACCAAATAACTTAATCGATAATTGAATCAAGATACGCTAAAAATGAAAAACTTTCAGCGTTTCTATGAGAGGATTGGATTCATATTGACGTAAAGAAATAGAAAAAACTTATCTTAAATATAAGACGTCCTGCATCTTATACATACGTTATTTGGTTTCCTCCCTCTCTCCTATTATTCCTTATATGCTAAGGGAGGGTGGGTAAGGGAAGAACCAGCCTAATAATGCAAGGTGGGCAAATGGTGAAACTAAAATTACCCTTTTACTTTTACTAAGCATTACTTAAATACTCATTACATACGTCATTGAAAATGACGATCACTCTGATTATTAACACACTATAACGTCATTTTCGCTATGACAGACTCAAGGGAAAACATTACGCTCAAAAAACTAATAAATGAGCTAAAATGTACGTCACAGACTCGCAATAATATTGGCTTCGTCACTTCGTTGACGAGCCAATCAGAACAAATTCTCACATCATACCGGTACATGTATTGTAATTAATTTTTTCGATTATTCGTAATATCGGTCTCCTGATAAAAAATATCGATTATGACAAATGTCGTAATTTTTCGGTTATGCGCATAACAAATGTCGTAATTAATTTTCCCTCTAGATCACATTAAGGATCTTATCCAATTAAATGTTAAAACCTACAAACCAGAATTATAATATAATGTTCTTCGCCGATTACAAAATTTGTCGATTCTTGGATGTTAGCAAAAAATTATCTGCATAATAAAATTTTACCGATTAAAAAATAATGTACATACTTTACTTTAAATTTGTAGATGACATATGTCACTTTTAAAATGATATAAATTTTAAATGACGAACATATATGTATTATGGCTTTGTTTATTTTGCCGTTACCAATAAATTTAAAATAATTATTTCTAAATTTTGATTTTAATAGGTTTTTTTATTATAATACAAAATTTGATATATTTTTATTTTCAACCTTTTATTTAATTAAAACTTTTTATCGCTATGAATAATCATTTACTATCTCATTTAATTAGAGATTCAACAGAATCAAGTAGCGAAAGTGATTTCAATAATTCAACAGAATCAAGTAGCGAAAGTAATTCCAATAATTCAACAGAATCATCTAGTGAAGATGAACAAATTATAAATATTGTTGCTCGAAAATATTTATATAATAGACTATCTACTTCTTATACTGATACTATACCCAAGTCCAATTTTTGGTATAGAAATATTCTTTTTAAATATGATGAAAAAAGATTTCGAATAGCATTACGAATGAATAAGCAAACTTTTTGGAAAATTATAGATATGATTAAGAATAATTTAGTTTTTAATAGTCGTCAAAGGCCAATTGAATTACAACTTTCTGTTGTTTTATTTTTATTAGGTAGAAAATCTACTATCTGGGACATTGCAACAAGATTTGGTATTTCAGAAGGATCAGTTATTAAATATTCAGAACGAATTATTATTGCTATTCAATCTTTACGAGCACAATATGTTGTTTGGCCATGAAATGATTACAGGCAACAAGTTATTCATGGATTTGAACAAATAGAAGGATTTCCTAATGTAATTGGTATTATTGATGGTACTCATATTTACTTGTTCGAAGCTCCTAATAAACCAAACAAAGATGTATATATTAATAGAAAACGACGATATGCTATTCATGTACAAGGTGTTGTAGACCATTTAGGCCAATTTATTAATTATGATATTGGATGGCCAGCATCTGTACATGATGCTAAAGTTTTTTCAAATTCATCACTATATATTCAACGAAATAATTTATTTTAATATGATGACTATATTCTCGCTGATTCTGCTTATCCTATTTCAAAATGGTGTATTCCATCATTTAAATTACCTACTCAACGACAAATTCGATTTAACAAAAAACATAATAAGACACGGGTTGTAGTGGAACAGGCATTTGGTAGATTAAAAAATCTATTTCAATTTTTAAAAGAAATAAGAACTAATGATACTAAACTTGCTACCAAATTTATAGACATAGCACTAATTCTTCATAATATAGTAGAAAGAAATAATGATATTTGGATATTACCTCTAAGAACACGATCAGAATCAAGAGATGTAATAAGATTTGTAGATAGTCAGAATCGTAGACGTCAAATAGAAAAAAGAGAAGGTATGATAAAAAGGCAAAATTTAATGAATATTGTTCTTTAAATCTGCTATGCAATTTTGCACTAAATCTTTATAATAAAAAATTTTTTTAAAGTTTAACAAAAAAACTAATTGGCTAATTCTGCATAATCTTTAAATTTCTAAATTACATATTTGAGGTTAACGATAAAAAGTTCTTAGTATAAAAAAAACTTTTCTCACAATCTATACTGAATCATATCCTAAACAGAATAATACTAGTGTTCTTTAATGTTAAAGACATTTTACTTTTATAATTAAACTTTATAAGCTTTGTTATTCTTACATATTTTCAAAATTACTATAATATACTTTTCTTACATATTAAGTATGGTCAACTCTTTTTAAAATAGTTTTTATAATAAATGAACTAAGAATTTTACAAATTAAATTATGTCTTCAAGTCACAAAAGAAAAGCAGAAACTATTCAAAATACAGGATGGTTGATGAAATACATGGTGGAAGTTTTCATGTATGTTGACAAGAGTCAACGGATCGAAAGATAAAGAACTAGCTGGCATTACATGCCATGTGCTACAATCCCTGCCCTCAGTTCACGGAACGAAAGGTATGTGTCGGGATCAAAGAACAAATCAATTAGTTAAATTGCATGAATCGACACGCAACCAGAGAGACGTAATAAAAAAGCCACCGACCACAATCAGTATATAAATAACTGACAGCAAGATTCTTTCGACACCCTTTTCCACTTTGGCACAATAGTCTCGGCTAACAAATTTCTCGACCCAACCTCTCTTGCTACACACGGTAGTCTTCTGATTCCTATTTAACAGCTGGCCTGCTTTGAGCAAACCGGAAACCACCGGCTGATGCTGCTTTTCGCTTGTGCTACTGTTGTGATGATACCCGGCATGGTCTCACTTGGTAGTTTTCTGGGAACATATCATCGATTCAGTTCGATTTACTTAACTAAAATTACTCATAATTTATTCTGCGGACTTTATGTCCTTTAATTGAATTTATTTCCGGCACCTTTGGTTAGTCGGCATTTATCCAAACAAACGACTAGTTGTACCAATGCTTTTCGTTAAAAAGAAATTTTATGAATGCACTGTACCTACTGAAATAAAAAAATCATTGTGGTTGGTTAGTGTGCCATCAACCTGTTACACATTCAAGAATTGCGTATAGGCGGTCCCTTCTGTGACGAAGTCATTTTTAACTTTTTTAGTGCAAAAGGTCAATTGCTTTTTTGTTAACACTTAATTACCAACAAATTTATCGAAGTTTTATTTTATTAGCCACATAAGCCTCATTATTTTTGTTTATTCCAAATTAATCCTATTTTCTAAATCTATTTTTGCTTTATTCTAAATTAATTCTATTGCATAATATATTTTTTACTTTATTTCTAATTTAGTACACATGCATAATTAATATAATACAATTACAATACGAAAATTTGCACCTACAAATCTACTAGTAAATACACTTTGAAAAGGCCCATTAATCGTTGATATTTACAAATAAAAATTTGCTTCTAAGCCCCGATTTGCTAGGCAACAACCCATATGGTATTATAATCAAGGTCCCTATTTCTATATAATACAGTACAGGTTTAACGTAAATTATGGATGCCGTCTGTCTTTCTACTTAAAACATCAATGTCACAAAATATCTAATCGTTGTGTCCTAATTTTTGTGTACACGTGTTCACATTTATATGACTTATATACGTTATTATGACTACCTTGGTCATATAAAGTTGGATATGACCTAAAATGGCCAACACTACTTACTTATTATAAACATAATAAGTCAGTTACAAGGTTCACCATTTAATTGTATTGGTGTTAGATCATATTTTGCGTGACAAAGTAAAATCATATGCTATCCTAAAAGTTGGAAAGAATTTAACCAATGATAAAAAATAGATATATTATTATAGACGATTCGTGAGAAGAGAAACACATATTCGGGATATCGGGCTCGGTACTGTCAATAAAGTTATCAGCATCAGTATTGAAAATTCGGCACAAACATTTTATGCAAGAAATTTTTTATACAGGAATGTTATTTTATTTTTTGTGCAATTATACAATAATTGTTAATTTTTGTGCAAAAAAACAATACATCACAACGAATTTTCAACATTGATCAGCATTAGCCTTGTATTAATCTATAAAGACTATGCAATTGTTTTACTCGATGCAAATTTAATTATGTATAATCGCCAAGAATTAACACCTGATTTATTTTTTAACGCAAGTTAAAATCGGGCGTTACTTTCTGTGTTGATTATATATTTATTTAAAAAAAATTGGGCATGTCTGAATCTCTATATTCACAGAATTGACGAATTTTAGCACTGTATAGCTTAGACTATAACTTTGATCTATGGTTTAAACCGTGGTTTAAATCATTTCTTTAAAAGTAGCAGAAAGCCGAGATCAGATGTCTTCTGCCTATAAATCGGTAAAAATCAGTTTGATGTACAATGCAATACTAAATTGTAGATGCGTAACCGCTGGATCTACCAATAGAATTACTTATAATTAGCGAATTTTAAAGAAAAAATAGTGTTCGTGACTAGGGATGCTAACGACTATCCGATCCGACTTGCTTCGACGTTTACCCCTGAATTGACTCAAGGAGGAAATATTTTATAATAATGCCAGAGTACATGAAGTCTACAATGCTTAAAAATAGGTATCTCTTAAATGTGCCAGATTGGGTACGTTAATTAGTCAAAATAATTTGCTCCAATTAAAAAATTTTTTTTAATTGTAAAATAAAAAGTTGGTTTAAAGATACCTAAAGCTATATCCTTTACAGAAACCTTGTTTTTTTGCCAAATATATTTATAACTAGCTCTTAGGCCCGGGCGTTGCCCCGGGTATGAGGTTTTAATTTTTTTTTAATTCTTAGGCTTAAATTACATTATAGTAGTTCTTAGGTTCAAGCATTGCTTTAAATATGAAGTTCTAATTTTTTTTCTAATTCTTAGATCTAAATTATATTAGCTCTTAGGCTTGAGTGTTGTCTTGAATATAAAAGTTTAATTTTTTTTATAATTTTTAGTATTAATTCTTAGACTTGAGTATTGTTTTAGATATGAGATTCTAATTTTTTTGTAATTTTTTTTTATTTAATATATAATTAATTAAATAATAATATTTTTAAGGCTATATATAAAGAATTAATTTATTTGTAGCCATACTATTAAAATAGTTTTTTTATAGAAAAATTTTGCAGCCATATTAACATTAGGGTTAGGGTTAGAACTAAAGTTAGGGTTAGGTTAGAGTTAGGGTTTGGAGTTAGAGTAGGGTAAAATTGCGGGAGGAGCATTTTTACTTAGTTACATGACAGGGGTTACTCTAGTAAAATTTCAAGTTATTGCAGAATTATTAAATACGGCTACATGTAGCCATGGCTACAAATAAATAATTCCATATATAAATTAATTAATTAATAAAATATTTTTAATATTATATACAAATTATTTTATATACAAAATAAAATTATTACAAAAAAACTTCTTTATAAACAATATTTTTAGTATATACACCTTCTTTGCCTTTAATATGCCCTTCTTTAACTAAAACTTTAATTTTATCTTTTGATATAACTCTTAACAAAGCTACATATAATTAATTGTCTATGAGTAAAGGTAAATATAATCCCATAATAGAAATTGTTTGACTTTAAGCTTTGTTAATTATCATTATAAAAGATAATTTAATTAGAAATTGTTTTCTTACTAATTTAAATAGAAGATTAGTATCTGATAGTATCAATTTTATTCAAGGTAAAAAAATTCATTTTTCTTGATTAACTCCTGTTAAGATTTTAGCATCTATAAGAATTTTATGACAATTTTTTACAATTAGACATGTACCATTACATAATCCTTCTGAAGGATTAAGATTATGTAAAAAAATAATAAATACATCTTCTTTTAGTACCAGATAATAAGATAGCATTCCACTTGGTGTTAAAGTATTTAGAAATTCAATAGGATAAAGACTTGAGTCAACTGAATCTTTATTCTAAACTGAATTAGCAAAATAACAATCAAATTTTTTGCTAGGAATTTGTTAAAGTATTTGTTAATTAATATATTTAACATCAACATTTTTAGTTATAAGAATTATCTTATCTTTAATAAAGTCCTTATTTTAATAGTTTATAATAATATCAGTAAAGATTTCTAATATTAAATTATTAAGATTTTTACTATTTAAAACTATACTATTAGGCAATTGTATAAAATCTTCACCAATATCAGAATGCACTAATACTTTTTTTTTACCAAAATCTAATATAAATTTAGTAAATTTTTTTTGTTTATTATTATTTTGTTAATTTCTTATATTAATTTTTAATTTCAAAATATCAAATTTCTTCCAAAGAACTAAAAATTTTAAACATGCATCAACAACTTGACCTTGAGTACCTCAAATTACTATAAGCAAAATTTGCCTAAAATTACTACCAAGAATCATAATTTTTTCTTTAAAAGGTTTATTATTTTCCAATATATCTTTAAAAGTTTTATCAACTGCCTCAAAAGCAAGCCTATTCATCATTAGTGCTTCATTCCATAGAATAACTTTAGCAATCTTAATTAATTCTGCCAATTCAGGTTGCTTTTTAATATTTAATATTGTTTTATTATCTATATTATCTAATAGAATTCTAAATCTTGAATGAACAGTTCTTCTACTACTTATTAATAAAGCAGCAATTTCTGATAATGCTATAGCAATTGCAATTCTATTTAAATCTTTTTCTATTGATCTTATATAAGCTAAGATTATATTATATAAAAATGTTTTCTAGTTTCTCCAGGTTCATCCATAAAAAATAATTTTTGAGCAATTTTATTCTTAATTGCTTTTATAATAGTATCAAATATTTTTTTTTTTTTTTTTTTTTTTTGGCAATCCTGCCTTTATTATTTGAGAGATACTACATTTATAAATGTACATGTATACTAAAATTACTTCTAGTTATTACCACCTCTTACACAATAAAGACTCACTCGGTTACTAAAAGC